ACAGCTCACAGCAACCTCCAACTCCTGGGCTCAAGTGAGTCTCCTGTCTCCGCCTCCCAAGTAGCTGGGACCACAGGTGCCTGCCACAACGCCCGGCTATTTTTTTTTTTTTTTGATTGCAGCCATCATTGTTGTTTGGTGGGCCCGGGCTGGATTCGAACCCGCCAAGTTGAGCATTTTAAAATGCAGATGCTCATCCCTGCCCCTAGCCTAGAGTCTGGAATTATGACAAATACTCCAGATAATTCTAGGGTGATTGTTTATTGCAGTTAGGTGACAGGTAGCAACAATTAGAGATTATGAAGAAAAGAAAGAAAATGCCCTCTGCCAGGATCCTCAGCTCTCATTCATTAACTGACTGTAACCACAGGAAAAGGCTGTAAATTAAAAAGAAAAACTTACCTTTTTCCTTAATCGAGCAGCGTTCACCAATTCACCATTATGTGCCACTGCTATTTTCCCATGAAGCGTTTCAACAACAAAGGGCTGACAATTTTCCAATTCGCATTTCCCTGTCGTGGCGTACCTCGTATGTCCAATTCCAAGATTTGAAATATATAATTTCTTCAAATTGTCTCCAGTAAAAACGTGATTTACAAGACCCATTCCCTTGAAAAATCAAAATAAAAATGCATCTCCGTAAAAAAAAAAATAGAGACTGCTGTTGCCAGTGGGTAATAAAAACCTCTCTGCTTGGGCAACCTAAATTAAAGAATGCAGTTCACGTAATTTCTCTGTGCTTCAGAATTCTGATCTTAAAAGCAAAACCAATGAGACCTAATCTAATTATAAAAATTGCAAAGCACTTACTTAACTTTTTTTTTTTAAATTAAGTCATAGCTGTGTACATTAATGCAGTCATGGGGTACAGTGTGCTGATTTTATATACAATTTGAAATATTTTCATCAAAGTGGTTAACATAGCCTTCATGGCATTTTCTTAGTTATTGTATTAAGACATTTATATTCTACACCTAGTAAATTTCACATGTACCCTTGTAAAATGAACCGTAGGTGTGGTCCCACCAATTACCCTCCTTCCTCCCCTCCCATTCCCCATTCCCCATATTCTTGGGCTATAATTGAGTTATAGCTTTAAATTATAGCTATAAATTAGATCCATAGTAGGACTGAATACATTGGATACTTTTTCTTCTATTCTTCAGATATTTTGCTAAGAAGAATATGTTCCAGTTCCATCCATGTAAACATGAAAGAGGTAAAGTCTCCATCTTTCTTTCTTTAAGGCTGCATAATATTCCATGGTGTACATATACCACAATTTATTGATCCATTCATGGGTCGATGGGCACTTTGGTTTCTTCCATGACTTAGCAATTATGAATTGGGCTACAATTAACATTCTGGTATAAATATCTTTGTTATAATGTGATTTTTGGTCTTCTGGATATATACCCTATAGTTAGAGGAATTGTAGGATCGAATGGCAGGTCTATTTTTAGTTCTCTAAGTGTTCTCCAAACACCTTTCCAAAAGGAACGTATTAGTTTGCATTCCCACCAGCAGTGTAGAAGTGTTCCCTTTTCTCCACATCCACGCCAACATCTCTGGTTTGGGGATTTTGTGATGTGGGCTAATCTTACTGGAGTTAGGTGCTATCTCAAAGTAGTTTTGATTTGCATTTCTCTGATTATTAAGGATGATGAGCATTTTTTCATGTGTCTGTAGGCTGTGCACCTGTCTTCTTCAGAGAAGTTTCTCTTCAAGTCCCTTGCCCACCTTCAGATGGGATCACTTGTTCTTTTCTTGCTAATACATTTTAGTTCTCTGTGGAGAACTTCTAAAGCACTTACTTAATGAACAATTTTAAAAGTGAATAATTTAGTGACATTTAGTACACTCACAACATTGAAGCAGTTACATTTCATATTTTCATTTTTTTCCTTTTTATAGACATAAGGTCTCCCTTTGTTCCCCAGGATAGAGTATACTGGCATCATCATAGCTCACTGCAACCTTAAACTGATAGGCTCAAGAGATTCTCCTACCTCGGCCTGCTGAATAGCTGGTACTCCAGGCATGCACTACCATCACCAGCTAATTTTTAAAAGAATTTTGTAAAGACAGGGTCTCACTGTGTTGCATAAGTTGGTTATAAGATAATTCTCATTAAAACAATAACAGAGGTACTGCGCAATAAAATTTGTCAAATATAAACTAAAACTTGCATTTAAAAAATCAATCTTAAAAGCATCTTTAAAGTATTTAAAGCATCTTAAAAGCATCTTACGTATTTAAAGAAATAACCTATTTGAGTTAGTCTTAGGCAGCAAACTATCACAGGGAAAGAAATACATCTTAAATTTGATGAATGTTAGAATATAAAATTGAAAATGGCTCATCCAAAGAACTTTACTTCTACTTGCAAATTATTTCTTTTAGACTCCTCCCCCCATATGTTAGTGACCATCTGGTTACTATTATCTTTTTAAGAAATGTATTTTATTATACTTAACTATTATTATCTTTATCATCAATGTTCTTTTTTTTTTTGACAAAGTCTCACTCTGTGTCCTGGGTAGAGTACCATGGCATCATCCTAGCTCAAACTCTTGGGCTCAAGTGATCCCCTCACCTCAACCTCCCAAATAGCTGGGATGACAGGTACCCACCACTACAGCTGGCTAGTTTTTCTATTTTTAGTAGAGATAGGGTCCCACTCTTGCTTAGGCTGGTCTCAAACTCTCCAGCTCAGCAATCCACCTGCCTCAGCCTCCCAGAATTGCTAGGTTATCATTAACATTTTTTAATGTTGAATGAAATTTACCTTGTGCGTTTTGAATGTTGGCACTGAACTCCCATCACTGGTCACAATACCAGCACTCTCTTGACCCCTGTGGATAGAAAAAGACACTAACTGTTAAACCTGCCCAATTGATATGCTTCTTAAAGAACTTTTGAGATGGGTGCCAGCAGCCTCATCACTCCCATAAGATGGATGCTGGCAGCCTCACACCACCCCCCAGGTGGGAGGAAGGGGAAAAAGATGTAAATGAAACCATGCCAAGTACCATTACTCTTAAATCGGTCTGGATGGGGCCGGAACAGCACAAGATAAGAACAGATGGGCCAAGAGCCGTCATCATGAGAGTTAATGAGCTAAGTGCTGTGACAAATTGTTTTATTTATCCATTAGTTGCTAGATCTGCATTATGTTACTTTATTGTTATCTAATTGCCCTTTATGTTACCTGTTGGCTAAACCGCTAAATGGCAAGGTTCGCTTCCGTAAAAGGGTCATGTTACCTGTTGGTTAAACCGCTAAATGGCAAGGTTCGCTTCCGTAAAAGGGTCATCGTGACCCTGTGCTTGCTTTTTGCTTCTTTTGCCAACTTTCTTTTTGCTTCTAATTGCTAACTTTCAGCCCATCTGTTTGGCCTTTTGCTAACTTTCAGACTAGAAAAACCCCAACTTTAGAGTCTTTGACGCTCTCTCAGTCTGCTTTAGACTTTGCTGAGACAGTCCTGTGGTTAATAAAAGACTCCGTTTTGAAATTCTAATTTGAGCTGTTGGTCCTTATCTCGCCCCATAACGCTTTACCAAGCATTCCTTTCTCAACAAGCATTCATAAACCACCTGACAACACACTCCTGGCTGCTGGTGAACTGCCACTTCTACGGATGACGAAGATGGTCACCACTAGCAATAGCAGCAGATGCTACTCTAACTAGACGACACTGTCATCTAATTCTAACTGATGTGCCAGCTACACTCCTAAGCATTTTACACGAATGATTTAATTTGCCTTCCATGGCAATCCTGTGAAGTATGTACTATGATTACCCATTTTACAAAAGGCCCACTTTAGTGTGGGTTTTTTTTTTTTTTTT